CCAGGGCGGGGGATCCCCGCTTACTGTGGCGGGGAGCACACCCATCTCACGGGGGGGGGGCAGCACACCCATAGCACCCATCCAGGAGCGGGGGTTCCCAGAGCACCCATCGGGAGGGGGGCGGGGACTGGCACACCCATGCAGGGTGGGGGGAGTCCCTTGACAACCCACAGCACGGCACCCAAGAGACACTGATTTGATCTCTGAGGCTATGTAGGTAGGTAGCCCTGCATCCTGGATGGTCCACTTCTGCTGGGCAGGTGCACACCACAAAACTTTCAAAAGATGTGACATGGTTAACTGTGATAGGGGATGGTCATGCTGGTTTGTTTCTCTTCAACTTCTCAGTATGCTGGGATGTCTAAAAAGAGATTATTCATAGGAAGCTTTTCCCACCTGATCTTCAGTGATGTGTAGGGCTTATGTTAGAGCTCTGTACAGTAGGAAGTTTCTCCTGTGGACATGTTCTTCCTCTGTAACAAAAGGATGATGTTGTTTCCCTTCTTTGTAGAGACAATACTGCTTACAGACATTAACCGCCCCCACCCCACCCCCAAAAGAAACAACCAAAACTGTGCTTTACCAGAAGAGCGTTAGTTCGACCTGGGTCCACAGCATTTGGGCACTTCAGCGGGGCTTTTTGGTGCTTTTATCTAATAACTGATTCAATCAGCTATTAGATAAAAGCACCAAAAAAGCCCCACTATAAATGTCTACACTGCAGTCTGCACAGTGTAGGTATCCTGCAGAGAAACAGGGTAAATTAACCTTTCCACAGCTCCATGCCATCTTGGCTAGACTTCTGTTGTACCAGCTAGCATGTTTACAGTTAGTTTACGTTATCTTTACATTCCAGTGTACTCTGTATGGATAAATTCAATAGTGTTTGCATATGGTCCCAATTCACTGAACCAGTTTAAGTATATGCAGTCCTGTTGATTAATCAAAGCAGCCATTTCTATTCCATATTACAAAATCAAGCAAATATCAAATACTTTTGTAAGACATTTGTACAGCCTCGGTTTCATGTTCATGAAAATGCAGGGAACTTTCACTTGAGACTACACATTTGCTTAAGATCACACATATCTACGTGCTTTGCTGGACTGAGGCCTTTTTAAGTTAGAAAACTCTCACAGTCCTCTTTTCAAGAGAGGGGTTGGTAAGCTCCAATATCCAAGTCAACTTCCATCTCTGATAATTACATGCTGCATATTGAAAATCCCGTTATAATTTCAACTGGAAATATTTGTTCACCCACTTGCTGTCCTAAATTGTTATATGTAATTCTAAAAGCTGGTTAACATCATACAGAGAAGGTGGCAAAAAAATTCAATAGAGCTTCACAACCAATACATGAAAGACATAAAATATGAAATCTCTGAAATAAATGATGTTCCTATTCAGGGGCAAAAGGGCAGGGACAATGGAATCAGTGAATTTATATTTTTTCCCCAGACTTTGCTATGTTCTTAAGATATAATAATAGTTTCTGGCTTTTACTTTGTACAGAGCTGCATTCCTATCTTCTTTGGTCTGCTGACAGAATGCAACAACAGTATTAACTGAAAAGCCAAGTTTTGACTATTTAAACATAATTTTCAGATAGTTTGTCCAAAAGAGAAATGCCTTGCCTTCAATATGAAGGTTAATTGTTATTACACATATTCAAGGCTGTCAAATATATTGACAGTCCTGTATGTAAAGAGTTTAGAATCTAAAGCATGGGCTTACTGGAGATGGGAATTTCAGATGAGGATGTACTTTTTAAAAAACACAATATTTCAAAACACATTTTAATGCTACATTTATAAAAAACAATTTCTATATATCTGTATAATGTTTTTCCTTTTTCTTATTTTGGGACATTCCTACTAGCCCTAATTTTCTCTACTGCACTAACTGATACTTTGTTTATTTAATATCTTGGGGGAAATCCCAGTAGAATTTTCCCATTGACTTCAATGACACCATGATTTTCACTCCATGCTAGTAGGCTATGCAAAGATATATTTCAACCCTCATTAAATAATTTATTTATACGCTGCTACCAATGGACTTGGTGGTGTACAAGGCACTACAAGATCTCTTCTGCCTTGTGCAGCTTATTGTTCTGTCAACTTCACAAATTTTTGCTGCTCCATTCCTCATATAATGCCCAATATGCCATTTTCTGGTATATTTATTTATAACTATATTTTTTTTGTTACAATGATAAAGTTGCTAGCATGTAGAGCTTCTGGGACATTGGACAGCTAAATTATCCATCTTCCTTTCTTTTATGCATCATCTGTCCAAGCTTAGACTCTTAAAACATCAAAGATGTTGAAAGATGAAAAATAGGGCTGTGTGAAACACAATAGTTTCATTTTGATGTCCATTCCACCATTTCGAAGGGACAGTGTTTTGTTTCGTTTTGAAGCACTGTCCCATTTCATTTTGTCGAAACTGTTTTGCTGTTTCAGTGTTCCGCCCATAGGCTATAATGGGTAATCATGAAAATGCCTAAAATGTTGTCATTTCTTGCCTGATTTGGATGAAAATTGCAGGAATTGCCCCTTCTGAGGACATGAAGCCTGCCAAGTTTCAAGGAGATAGGTGCAAAGGTTTCTCTGAACCTCAAACTGTTTAAAGCAAAACTTACGACACTTGCCAGCAGCGGCAGCCTCCTGTCATCCATGGAGCAGAACCAGGGGCCTGCACCCCCAGGAAGACTGCGGGGCTGTACCAGACTCCTTCCAGGGGTGCGGGCCCCTGGATCTGCATAGGATAACAGGAGACTGCTGCTGCTGCCTGGGACTGGCGCTGGGCGCAGTCCATACCAAGCACCAGGGAAGACTGATGCTGCTGCTGGCCCCAGGCAGCAGCAGCAGCCTCCTGTTATCCGGCCCAGTGGTCCAATCAGCTCCACTGCTCCACGGAACTGAGCTCAGCCCAGCGGCCGGAGGCGGGCAGAGCCAGGGCTGCACTCTGCTTCCTGCCACCAGGCTGCAGAGCCACTTGGAGCACAGCCCTGACTCTTCCCTGCCACCTGCCACCGGGATGCTTCGAAACTCAAAATGTTTCAAGTGCCCTCATTTTGTTTCAAAGTTCTTTCGAAGCTTTTTATTTCATACAATTTTGCTGTTTCAAGCTCGAAACACATCGAAACAGCTTCAAAATGAAACACTCAGCAACATTTTGCACAATCCTAATGAAAGACTCTAGGTATTCTTAGTTCATGCTAATGGCCCCCTGTGATGATATGTACACATTTACATCACTCCTAAAATTTAACTATTGGGTTAAATAAATTCATACTTCTTTTACCAGAATTTTTTGGCAGGAAAAAGTACCGGGTTCCCAGGAGGTGAACAAGATGTACTTTAATCTAATTTATAAGATTTCTATAAACCTATATTTAAATCCTTGACAATACAGATTTGTATCTTTTGGCTAAGATCAAGGATGGGCTGAACACCCCCATACACACACAACATAGGCTTGCAAAGACTGTTAATGCCCTAGAATATTCCCTGGCCCATCAACTGTACACTGCCTGCTAAAATCATTACCTAAGAATGTCTTACAGCCTAACAGCTGTGTACTGATGCAGTTACCATGTATGGAGTCTTTTCTCTCTTCTTTCCACAACTTTGCATTGAAACTTCCTAACCATACTACCCCAAGCTAACATTGGCTGTATAACTAACTGCATGTCTTGGATTTTATTAACATATATAATCTATGTACCCATGTAGCTCCCTATATTGTTTTCCAACTCTACAAAGCCATGTAATAACCATAATTTTTAACATTTTCTAGTAAAGTTTAAATCTGTTCAATTCAGTATTTGCTGATATTGTCTTCTGGGGGACCATTTCTTGCAAGGACAGGATGATGAAATCATTGATATAGTAGGTGCATTCCGCCTTTCCCTTCTATGAAAGTATATTTTTAACCTTCAGCAGTCTGTTTCCCTGCATTCAATTCACAACTTTATGACTAGTAGCTTATATCCTGAAATCACTACTCCCACAGGATTCCTATGGAATTCATTGGAAGGTTTGTTTAAGTACTGACTGAAAATTAAGGGAACAATTCTTTGCTGTGCTTTCTGATGTACACATGATCTCAGGGGATGACCTATACAGGTGGAGAAGAAGAATCTGTCCCTACTTGGCATGAGATTTTGTCCATACTTGTATATTTAGTAGAGCTAGCCAATTAGAATAACAAACAATTTCAGGATAGGCCATCTCACGAGAAAGGGCAGAGATACCTTGTTTTGCTGTAAAAACAAGGTTTCTCTGACATTTTGGAATTCATGTGGTTACTTAAATGTTATCTTTCCCTGATTCTCTGAAGATTATAGAGAAGCAGAGAAATGTAGAAGTGGAGCACATTACAAAGGAGAAATACTGTTCCCTGGATAGAATACCTAACTGCTGTGCACATTTAAAAAAGGGATCCAGAAGATGATTAATTGCAGTGTTAATACATCTAAGTAGACTACAGGAGATGTGTTAATAAGAGTCATGCA